TATTTACTCACTATATGGATTAAAGTGAGGGCCAGCTGCTGTACAGTTGAGTTCACCGTTAGCTAATGGATCTTTGTGCACATGAAAGCCCTAAAACACGTAGAGACAAACGAGAAAATGATGGGACCATACAGTGAGGAACCGATTCACATGAATACTATTGAACTTAAGACTCGTGAGTATGCCTCTAATGACGACCGGAGAATCAGCATTGACTTGAATGAATACTAATTCACCGATTGAAGTCGTAGTCGAATCCAAATGAAGGTCAACTCTAGCTATCTTGGCACTCTGTTCGCTGTGGATAAATAACAACAAGACGGTGATAAAGAAGCCGAACATAGTGCTAGAAAAGAAAATCGAATAGGAAGGTAGAATCACGAATGCAAGCAACGTGTGCGTAAATTATATCTTTGAGATAACTGTCTACAGATGTATATAGAACTCTTTTTATCTTTTCCCTGTCCTTGATAAAATACATACACATACATACTATACAAAAGACAAAATTGATACTAAGAGTTTCTGAGTGTCCTAGACACTGATGATGGAGTGATACCTTAGAGATGACTGATTTATGCATATATTGAGTTCCTGAACCTTGATCTTTGACACAAGGTTGATTTTGTTTCAATGGTAACTTTTAGGGTGTGGTGCGTGAGTTATTTTTTTATCCACATCCACGCCTACACACCCATCCACACCCTAGAAAGTACACAGAACTAAAATTCTGGGAAGTTCATTTAAATTAGAAATAGTATATTCTAATCAAAATAAATGACGCAACTATTTTCTTTGCAAATTTAAGGAAGAACCGTGAGTGTAAGATCGTACATTTATAGAATGGAGAGTAAGTGCTGATAGTTAATACATACCAATACGTAAGCTATAATATAAGATCAAATCCGTAATGTTATTTCCAGTCAATCGACAAAATCTCAGTGCCGTTTATTATGATCAGAAAAATATATAAAATTATGAATGGCGATGGATAGCTCTAGGAAACTTCAAAAGCATCTGAAAATTCTTCAGTGAACATTCCACAGGAAGGAAAGATTCAGAAAAATCTCAGCAATTAAAAATGGGAAAGCGTTTTCCTTAGTTGGCGCTATTTAACCTTATCAAAAGTGTTCCTAGTTGTGTCAGAAAGACAGAGCACATATGCTATGAGTGATTCGTCTGTCTTCAAAATAAATAGGACTTGTGTCGTCTTTCCTTCGTCACGATTGTTGTTCTTTATTCACCGAGAAAAGATGTAAGTGTGGGTGCAGGTGTCAGTTTTCTCTTCATCTACATCCACACCCACCCCTGTGACTCCCCCTATAGGATAGTTCTTGAGGATTTATGGGTGCCTTTTTATGACAGACCTTGAGAACTCATTGGTACCGCCTATGATAGCTCTTGAGGACTTGTAGCTTTCTCTATTGGATAGCCTTGATTAACTATGAATATTCCCATAGAGGAAGGCTTGCAGACTTGTGGGTTTCAATGTGGATGAGTGAATATGGATATAGGTCTTGTCAAAACACTCACACCCCTACCCGCTGATAAATAAGATCGTTTCTATAGACTCCGCTCATAGAAAAAGAGCTGATCATTGTTGATTCGAGCCAGATCATCCAGCTCATTGAGCTGTCATACACCTAGTCGTCTTTTCTCAGAGATAAAATTCGAACATATATGCTTTGTTTCATACAACAGATTTCTTCACCATTCATCTTTCTATCTGCATTACAAGTGCAATCAAAATTGAACGATATTATTATTTTTCAATTAATATTGAGTATGCGTATACATGAACGCTAGTAACCTGAACAATTATAGAAAGTAAATGAGACTTTTGAGTTGATATGTTTTGGTTATATGGAATAATGATCTCGTTTTAACGAACAATAATTAGATACATATTGATGGAAACGTGCAAGTCTTTCATGGACTAGCATTTACACTATAAAATAGCAGAAATTGAGTGTCGTTGAATAATTCCATTCATAACTGTTCTCGTAAATATAAAATCTTTTGCTTGGGTATGTAGCATTTAGCATATTATGCCTAAAAAGTAAAAAAAAACCTTGTGATTACATTCATGCCGTTGTCAAACGAACGCCTATACGTGTGCTAATGTTTTGCATTTATGCGCAACAATTGTAGCTATCTTAGATAACGTGCAAGTTCATGTATTAGATGTACTATCTAGTAAAATGTCTTATAAGTCAAAACGAGTTCCTGAAAATTTTCCGTAAATAGACGCATATTTCATAATTTCGTGTTTGACTGGGTAGAAGATACAACAAGATGAGAAGAGTTAAAACTAAAGTCCTAAAATTCTTCCATGTGAAAATTGTGTAACTAAAGTATTCCCACTGAGAGCGAATATAAGTAGAATTATTTTTTATGAAAAATGTTTTATATAAAGCAACACAAGAGAAACAAACCGATACGTGCAATAGATTTTACTTTCGCTAGTGTCTATTAATCCCCGATATTCTAACGGATTCCAATGCATTGAAATTCTGTGAGAATGATTTATATTTTTAATGATGATTTGTATATATGCATTGAAGTGTGTTTTTATGATCCGTACTATGGCATAATCTTGTTGTAACGGATGACTTGCAAACAATGGAATACTATTATTATCTTCTTCCAAAAACTAGAACTAAATACATTTCACAAACTCCATTCTTAGTTCTGTTGAATAGAAGATCTTTTGCTCTTCAATATTATCGACTTTATTATGTACATAAGGTTTTTTTGTCGATAAAAAATTGAAAACATTTGCGAATTCTCAGTTGCTGAAATGGAACATTTTAAAAACCCAAATTGATAAACTATGATCGAAATAAGTACTAGATAAAATTTTATTTCTGTCGATACATGTCAAAAATTTTTCCAAAATCGTTTTCGAGCGAAAACTTTCTGGCAAAATTTACTCTTATTCAAGTTCAGCTTAAAGATTTTTTGTGATCAGTGTAGAATTCACATTATTTTCCTTCAATTGAATTTTGTGAAGATGATTGATACAAAGAATATAAAGTTCTCTATTTATTGATATAAAATACTTACAAATTAGATTAGGAGTTGATGACGTACAAGTTTACAAAAGTCGATTGTTGTTCTGTAAAAATATGGATGATCATAACAAGGAAGTTAAGTATTTGTTAGCTTTTTCGATTTTTCGGCAACAAAAAGAAACCTTTCTTGGAAAACAAAGTCGAAATTATTACACGATTCAAAATATTCTATCCGTTGAGCATCACATGAAATCTCTGAAATGTAGTTTGATTTCCTGAAAAGAAACTAAAAGTGTCTCAATCTTTATAAATCACCCATTATCTAATGAAGCTATATTCATTCTACCCAAGTAGGATTCAAAATATTGAAATAGAGATCGGTTATTGCAAAATTATGCATTTTCATTTTCTCGAAGCTAGAATACGAAAATCTAATGTTCTTTAGATTTGATCAAGAGATTTGCTTAATGTCCATGGCATCAAAATGGTTTCTAGCATTAGAATTCATATTGTTTTCTCTAGCTAGCATCATGCTGGTTCTTTCATTTTCTCTCGTTTCTGGACATATATCGACCAATACCACAGGTTGAAACGGAAGGTTCAATATAAGACTGAGATTTCCAATCGAAGAAAGTTTTCACTTGACACAAGAAAGAGCAGTCAGTAAAAAAACCCTTCATCTTTCGGTCTCTATTGATGACTGACAAAGGTTTTTTTCATGAAATCGACAGTTTTAATAAGTTTTTGATGATAATAATTTCAAATTTCATATTTGTCTTCAAACATATTTCATCATAGTTTTAATTTTAAAACAGAATGCATCTTGAAAAATGCTCTATCTTTTTTTTTTTGCTGTTCATTTGTTTCAAGCTTTATAAAAAATAGAATTGAATAGAGTAGTATTCCTTCAATAATTACTGGTTATGGTCAAGATTTTAATCTAAAACATTTGAGATACAATTGATTTTGATCATTTAATAATTTGTTAAAGTTACGTTGAGAGAACCTAATTGTTTAGGATGATCATGATGAAAACAACTCCATCCGTAAGAACAATTCTAACTACAAAAAAGAAATATACATATATTGATAGTTGTCGCTTGGGTTTTCTTTTTCTTCTTATTATAATTCACAGTGTGCATGTGAATGATCTTGAAACTGATAAGATTAGTCCATCTCCTCTTCATCAAAGATCGTGGAATTCGGCACTGAGCCAGAAGCAAGCTGTCTTCAAGCAAGGTATTAACAGTCTGTGCTGCTGGAAAATCATCTTTTTGTTGAACTATGGTGATCAATTGTTTGGTAATCAAAAATATGATCCAATAATTATATGGGTCGATGAATTCAAATAATATTAGTTGATGAAGTAGTACTATATTCAAAAAAGCCTACGTAAAAAATAAGTCAATTATCGAATAATTGTGGTAGTCTTCGTAATTGTTCATTTCAAAAATGTTTTAGCACAAACGAAACTGGACATTAAAGTTTTCATGCTTGATATTGTTCAGTTTTCTTATGGAATAATTCTTTTTTGTCTGTCTTGTTGTCGATAAAATCATCTGATGCATGTTCAATAAATGCACCAAGGAAATGTAGGAAATGCCTATGACTTCATCATTTTTTATATAATCAATAAATCAAAATGAAGAAAATCATTGAAACTATCTGATAAATCTGTATTTATAAAAATTAAATTTTTAAAAAGCTTTTCCCCATGTATGTGATAAAAGCACACGGGTAGATTCTTTTTGTCCAACCTTCTTTCTCTTCACTTGCTATACATTCACATACAAGATGCTGCATTTTATAAATAAAACAATGAAGAATGGATAAACGAAGAATCATTTATTAGAATAATAATGAATGCTTGATTAAATCTTACGTTCAATGAATGAAAAATATCAATGAAATAATTGTTGAAAATAACTAAATGTTATCTTATCAAAACAAAATATTTATGAAATTTTCTGATAACTGATTAGAAATCTATTTCGTAGCAAAAATTCGAAATTCATCATTTTCTTCAATACATTGAATTCGTTCAAAACAAGAATGAACTTGATGTAAAGTAGTTAAATCAGTAGTTCTATCATTTTCAGTCAGCATTTCTTGAATATAGCAACCGAATTGAGACAATCGATGCAGCCGATTAAATAAATTACGTGCTAAATCGACAAATGACATACGATATATTGTTTGTAAATACAAATATTCAATGTTAGGTGTATAAGTAACAATATTGTCAATAATATTAAAAGTTAATTCGGTATAATCACTCCAAAGAGTTAGTCGTCGAAGTGGATGATTTAGCGGTATATATAAAGTGGCATTATTATTGTTGGTACGCGACAGATGAACTTGCAGATGATAAAGATTGGGACAGGAAGCAAGAATGATTGGAATAGTAGCTGGTTTACAAGAAAGGACAGATACAAACTGGAGGGAGGGTGACATAGTCCATGGATGACAGTCGGACTCATCAATACGGCACAAATTAACATGACGAAGAGATGGAAACTTATTGGAGAAAACATTACGAATCAATTTTCGTGGCAGAGTGATTTTAGGTCCGAACAAAAACGATAGATGAGTCAGATTGGGAACGATTTTAGGTTGAATCTGTGCAATTTGTTTTGAGTTTTTAATACCTATTACCAATTCATGTAAATTAGAAAATTCACTAAAATTATAATAGATGGATGTGTGAATTATCAAACGAGTGACATAAGGTGCATATAATGTCATCAATAATAGATCAGTTTTTTCATCGAAAATTAGAGATAAATTTTGACAGGATTGAAAAATATTATTCAATCGTGAATTGAGTCCCCAAAAAGCTTTAAATAAATGTTGAATGTCGATGAAAGTGAATACATAGTTAAATAATTCATTGGGAAGTTCTTCAAGTCTAGTACATACACCTAGAATATGTTAAAGAAAAATGAAATTATTTTGATCTTGAGATAATAAGTAGCTATATTTTTAAATATTCATGTTTAAAAATTTGGTTATTACCGGTTCTAATGAATTGAAAATGCTTTTCTAGAGTAACACACTAATCATAATAGAAATGATTTTTACTGGTATTATCATAGTATTTCAATAATACAATATTTAATACTGTTTTAACATAGTATTCTGCGATCCGAGCAATTACCCAGCACTTAGAGTATGGGTCTGGATGTTAATTCGTCCAGATGGCTAGAGTGTCGGATATAATCTAACATTCGAACTCAACTCGGCAATTTATGAGATCTTGATGTTTCAGTGTATTTTTACTTTTTCAAACTATTATTTATATAAAAGCATATGAGTGAAAATCGATTCGATCATAATTGTGCAATTCACGATATTTGAAAAAAAGTTACAGAAATGAAAAGCGATATCGTTATACTAGAAGAATTTTGCTATTAATAGAAACTCATTTACACATGATGATAAACTATATGATGAAATAACCGAATACATTGAGAGAAAAATGCATTATCAAAAAGATAAACTCGTATTATTGGTGATGGAACAAGTATTTATGTGTGTATCTACAATTATATTATATGACGCCAACTCTGAATTTCATTCGAGAGTTATCAGTAACCAGCCAGCGTATACTAAGCGAAATTGACTAGTGAAATGTACATTTATGGTGAAAATAGATGCGAAATCTACCTATTGAAGATACTTTCATCGATTTTTACTTGAAAGTTATAGTTCTTTGCTGATCATGTCTTGTAGTTGTAACTTACGGTTTTGAATGTGTCGGATAGCTTCGATATTCTGTCTCATTTCCATATCATCATTTCCATCCTGAACATTTTTTTCGGCTTGCATTGTATCGGTGTCCATCTTCTAAAAAAAAGATTTTGTTAAAATATCTATGATTGAATGGTCATTGTTAAAATACAAAAACTCAACTTTCATTCTTTTCTTCTGTTATTAAACATTTGTCTTTAGTATAAATAAATAGAATCGTTATGAAACAATCAATTGATTTATATAATGTATACCTGAGATGATTTTTGTGAAGATAATGCAATGGTCGCATCTAATGAAGACACAGATTTGCCATCAGTAAATCCAGGATTAGGATCTCTGGATACATCCGAAACGTTTGGTGTTTTTCTAACGAATAAATTAGCAAAAGTGTTGAAGACATTACTGATTCCTGATGGGACCGAATGCGTTTTCATCTTTTCACAGTCATGAAATGAACCTGAAAATGAATGAAATTCTTTTTAAATAATGAATTATGCACAATAAGAAGAAACCTTTAAAAATAATTTGTCCCTTTCGATAATTTCCTTTTGTATTGATAAAACAGATATCATTTACATTAGTAAATTCAGGTGATTTAAAAATCGCTGATTGTGAAACTGTAGAAACAATGTTACTGTTTTCCCATTGGACAGCACAAAAACTTTCTTTATCAACATAAATTGCTGGTGTATCTGCATAGGAGTCCGATGCTACAATTAAATCGATAATTGAAATAATAATTAGACTAAAAGTGATGATTAGAAGTATGTTCGTTACTTGATGTTGCATATACAGGTTTTAAATATCGAATAGTTCGAAGATTGCAATGAAAAATCTTTTTATTAGCTTTATAATGTGCATAGGTGGCTGGACTACAAACAAGCATTTGAACTGGAAGATGTCGTTCAGTATTAAACCGATGACGAAACTGTTCATCTGTTTCATTCTCGATATTTTTATCATTAAAAAATATGATTCGATCATAGGATTTTAATCCTGCTCGATGTGCTAAACTTGATGGCAAATCGTCAATTAGCTTCATATAATGAAATCGTTGTGGTGCAAAATAATGAAAATGAACACCTATTAGCTGTTGTGGTATGGCGCGTTGAATTGTACATAGTCGAATGTCATCTTTTATGTACTTCAAATTAGTATTTTCATCAGCAGCAGCAGGAGAACCTACATTAATAATAATTTAAAAAAGAAACAATTCTCTAATCGTATTTTTCATTGTTCACTTTAAAGAAACAAAATCTACTTATTTTACTAATAATTCAATTGAGTGTTTTAGCATTTGATTAATCAAAATCAATATTCGCAAATATACAAAATGTTTTTTCGAGATCTGTCGCATTTAGTTGGTTTTATATAAAAGATTTTTTGTTATGAAAACCTAGTTTATAAGAATATTTTGCAGTATTGATCTAGTTTTGCCTTATTCTTATCTGAATGTGTAAAATACTGACATGGGAGAAAGCTGCTTTAATTACATTGATAAATTTAACAGTAATATTCTTAAAACTTGATATTGAAATGATACATAACTAATTAAGATATTAGTAAAGTATTTCATCAATCGACAAATAATAAATCTTTTAAAGTCGTACTACTTCATAAAAAAAGCAATGTATATAACCCATATCGTCAGTTTTTTATCAAAACCGATGGTAACAGGCGGTTCTTTATAAAACCGACGATTCGAGAGGTTTTATTATTTATTTTCAGCGTTGAAAAAATTAGTTTCAGCTCGAAAAATTGAATATTTTGTTGCTACAGTAGATTTTGTCAGATGGAACTACAAAATTTCATATTGGTTAAGTCATGTAATGAATGACTATTTTTATGCCGCCATCTTTAATAAAAATCAAACTCGAAAAATAAGCAAATTTAGTCGACGTGGCTGATATCCGCGGCTTCAACATGCTCATATTTAGTAGGGTCCACGACTTCAACCAACATTTATAAATTTTGTAAGAGTTAAAAAATTTTCATCCTTTGCGATGCAAAACAAAATTAATCTGAGGAACCGGGGTTAACCGCTGGTTCAAATCATGCCTCGAAATCGGGCCACTTTTTGTTGACTCGGTCAGGTCTGACTCAAGTTGAAATGACACTATTATGATTTCATTTCTTTTATAAAAGTGTCTTCATGCTATGGATTTCAACAGTCACTTCAGGAAAACAAGATTTTTTCTTTCTCCTTATGTGAGAAATCTTCCTTCTAGAAAAGAAATAAAATTCGGGTCGGGCGGACCACTTCGAGGCCTGGTCAGAATGGCATGAGAAAAAAACTTTAACTAAGGGCTCTTTTTCTTGTTACTTAATCTACTTCATTATAAAAATAAATTTAAGAACAGTTGATTTTTTTTACTATAATGCTTTGCAACCCATCTTTGAATGATTACGGGTGGATCGGTTCCCGTTCCAGACATTTGTTTAATTTCATCTCGATTATTAAGATATTTAATCACGAGACCAAAGTCTGTGACATGGATCGTTGTATTTATTAGTTTAGCCTTTAGATCAACAATATTGTTAACAGGAACGAGAATATAATACCATACTGCTCTTCCTCTGTCTTGGCCACGAATGATGTGCGCTGCTTTGCTAAACGTTTGTTCTGTTACCATTGCTTTAGGCCAATCTTCATAGCTTATAAGTGAATTCTAAAAGAATTTCACAACAATAAATAAAAGTCTTTGGTTCATGAACGAGAAAAATCAAAAATTATTGTTTGTTTCTTCAATCAAATGACAATGAATTTTTGTCCTTTTAATTTCTTTTGGAATTTTATATGTCGACAAAAAAAATGCGATAAGCACATATCAGTCAAAATTTTATTGATTGAAGTATTATTTAATTTAGATCGTCTGAAATCATATTTCTTGATTAGAAATTTACCTGTAATTTTTCGTAAATTTTTGCCATCGAATGAAGTCAATGGAAATTTATGTCTAAAACAATCAAGATGGTTAGTATCAAGTACAGAAAGATTCTTCTACGAGTTTTATTAAAAGCAATGTTATGAGGAGTCAATTGATGAAGAAGAAACATTGCTATCTAAAAGCTAAGTTGTTTCTTATCAATGATAAGTAGCTCATGTTATTATGTCTCTTAATTTCTCTACCTGTTTTGTCAATAAATGATAAAAGATGATTGCTTGCCTCTCACGGTGGATGAAATTGAGAAGATTTTTTAATAATTATTATTACACCGTCGACACTGACAAATTGTTTTATGGTAGAGTCAATATCTCGAATACTAAAGCAAATACACAAGTTCTGTATTAGAGCATAAGAGAGCCTTCTTTTAAATACAATTCAAACAAAAAATAATCTGAAAACAGATGAAAACTTTGTGGGTATATCTACACCTACACTCACACCCTAGTTCGTCATCATCACTGAATAGTGATCTATTGCCAATATTTGAACATTTATTTGAAAAAATAATTTTATCAAATGAAAAAAATTGTTCAACGAAAGAAGATGAAATGCTTCTTTGTTGAATCAATTGTTTGTAGTTACTTAACTCATTTTCGTTCTATTTATTCTTCTCCACGTCATTCAATATGTTCATCTTTAATCAATTTATATTGAATATGATTTATTAAAATCTTCAGAAACAGATTTATGTCATCGAATGGAATATTTATTAGAAGTTTCTGCTGCTATTGATATTCCTTTATCAAATACAAATGCATTTATTTGTTCAATTTTATATGATTTGAATTCTAATATTCAAAATTTTGTGGAAAACTGTGATTTAGATCTGTAAATCTTAGTGAAATGAAATGAAATAATATTAATTTGAGATTTATTCGAAGATGAAAACAATTTATTCAAATAATGCGTCTTGGGCAAGCTCGAAAACAAGATGATAAGGATGTAGGGTGTGCATATGTGTGGATGGGCCTTCTATTCTCGCACATCTACCCACATCTGCACCCACGCCCCCAAACTGATGATGACGAGATCAAAGAAAGATTCCTGTCGTCAAATCTGTGATCTTAAAGGAGGATGTTGAGAAAAAAATTGAACATCATTGATTTGAGAGTTCACAAATGACTCTGTAATTTTGAGTCGAAAGTGACTGAATTGATTGAGCATGAGCATTTCCGGTGTGAGTAGGTGTGAGAGAATAGAAGATCCACTCACACTCCACACCCTCTGTAAGCTGCTTATTATAAAAACTACAAGAATTTTTAAAATATTTTGTTGGTGAAGTTATTCGAAGTCGCCGTTACCTAGCTCAGTGAATGATTGACACCAATCAAATTCAGATTTAGAATAATTATACTTCAACCTATTGAATGCTTATATTACAAAAGCAATCTCTTGTTACTTTTATCGCGATTTTTTCTCCTATACACATTACTTTTTCGGAGAAAAATTAAGTACGTAAGTAAGCGTTGGGGCAATATCGAATTTCTATTTAACGGAAGATCACGTTGTGCGCTTCTTCACTTTCGGAAAATGCGAAAAAAGCATGACATAATCATTATATATAAAGATGGGTACCATCACTATTCTGTCTCATTCCAACGCAAGCAATGGTTTCAACAGTAACCTGTTGGTTCGTATTCATTCTATTCAGGTAATTATAAAACGTATGTTTTCCTATTCATCTAATGTTGAACAATATTCATTTAAAGTCTTACAGGTTTGATTTTTGTTTTGGTTTATATGTCCTGCTATTAATTTAGTATGTTGCTAGTTCGAGTGAAGTCTCAATTATGCCATGGGATATCTCAATATGGTCGATGTTCGATAAATATTGCGTGTGCCTGTTTCCATATAGCAGGTGCTATTGGCATCGGCATTTGTAGCGATGAATTTGTCGATTGTTCTGAGCTAGTTACATGTGAACACTCAAACAACCTTTGTAGTGAACCTGGTCATAGATGTGTTCATCATCCTCAATGTCATAATCTTCCTGTTTGCTATCCGGTGCCGAGTTTCAATCGACAACTCTGTCCACCAATAGCAAGTAAGAAAACAAATAGTGATCTACAGATTCAAATGAAAGCCGACTCTTTCTTAAAGTTATTTCTTCACTGTTCACAGATTCTCACATATGCGGTTCATGTTGGTATAGGAATGATAGGAAAAAGTCCAAGAGCCTTCGAAAAAAATAGGTAAAGAATGGCAGAGGCGATACAAATTGTAATTATTAGAAACAGGATTTCATCTCTTCTCGTGGACTATATCCATTAATTTGAAATACAAAGTCTGTTACATTTATATCGAGAAATGCATGAAGATGCAGTGAACTTTTGAATGTACATCAGAGATCGAAACAAATTGAACAATTGATCATTCGATTCAATTCGATTCTGTAGAACGTTTCATATCTTTGAATCTCCATAACAGCATATCAATTCTATTATGTCATGTTTCGCTTTATTCACAGTTTTCTCGTATACTTGACTAATTTCTGGTGAATATTGACCTCAGTCGGCAGCCTTTTTTTCAAAACAACTGCGAGTGAAATCTAGCTGAAAAGAAAATGCATTTATGATTTTCTCTATCGTGTTTCCAATGACTAAACTTGCAAAAGTGAAGACTGATCATTTAGCTACAATACAGTAACCCAAGGGGGAACAAGCAGACTTCTGTACTTCCGAAGTACAAAAGTACGGAAAAGTACAGAGAAGTACCAAGAAGTACGAAGAAGTACCAACAAGTACAAAGAAGTACAAGAAGTACAGAAGTCCGCTTGTTTTCCCATGCAAAAATGTCAGGATCTTTTAAAAGAGGAAAAAATATACCGACTTATTGCCAACAAAAACCATTGATGAATCAGAGAGGTTTTTCATAGAAGGTAATGACTAACGTAGACATATTTGAAAAGTTTTGCTCACCATAGTATTAATATTTGAAGAAAGAAAGGATTATCTATGCTACAGAGAATAGAAAAAGAACTTATTATTCATCAATATCGAAAAGAAACGGAAGAACAATGTTGCTGACCAATATAACATCAAAATGAAGTGACTTTTACGTGATGATTCAACACGATAAGACAATTTTTAGTGATTGTTTCTTATATCAAAAGATAGAAGTCGACGCGAGGAATTTATCGGTATTTTCTATGAGAAAAAGTCTGTAAAACAATTTTAAAAAAAGTTTTAATTATATCATTGGCATTAATGAAGAACATAGGCATTTTTTTATTTGGTATGACCCGAAAAAATACCATACAAGAAGATGTAATTGTAAGGATTAAAATTCATGTAGCATGAACATTATTCAACGTGATATCTCTTTTCATTAATCAATATCTGCTCAATTTCTTTCGCCAAAACAAATAAACGAGATATTTAGGATCGCGTTCGACATATAACAGTTAAGATTTCGATAAATTTTGTCATTTCAACAGAAATATTGAGACTGATTTAATGCTTCTCAAAGAGGCAAAAGCTATAAAAAACAGATATGAGCGACTCAGTGTGGTTAAGCATAAGTTTTCTGGTCTTCAATTCTTTTTTCGACCAACTTTTAGGTAATTTTGTAAATAAATGTGAATCTCGAGTTTTATCACACATATATTACTACTCCAAATAGTGAAAACAAGTATTCAGAAATCAATGTCTTAAACAGAGTAAAATATTTAAATACATCATTTTTTTTTCATGTCTGTCTAACTGAATAAACAAGCTTCATGATTATTTTTGACTCTGGATCACTATAATGTTAGTAATTGATAGGAAAAAGTCAAACATATACTCAGAAATTATGATTTTCACCATATTTTGCAATCTCCAATATCTGAAAGAAACACGTGCATAGTCCATAATTTATCCTATCATATTCACGACCTTCTTCGTTTGTAACCGCTTGTTTCTCCAAATTTTCTCCAAAAGACCGTTATTTTCAGTTAAAATTTTCGCAAAAAAATAGAAAAGGGTTTCTAACATAGCAAAATCATTAGTTAACAGAAAAGAGATAGTTTAACGTTTTATTTCATTAGATTTAACAATTATATATGTTTGAAACGCTTTTTCATCTGTTTACAAACTCACTGGATATTGTCGTACACATTTTCTTAAACACGTTTCACAGCCTTCAACAATAACTCGTTATTTCTCGTTTTTTTAAGCAATTGAACGCGTTCAAACGGATTCGTCACTTGAGATTCGCTGAAATGCAAAATCTTCAGTCCAATTAATAGAGGCCGGCAATTTCGATTTGTAAAAACGAAGAAAAATGCTTCCAATTTCGGCTTTTAAAACTATCTTTGGAACCGGTCATCTATTAATAATATACAAAATAACTAATATAATCATTTTTTACTAGAAATTTCGAAGTTAGATTTCTTTTTTCCCAAGATTACACATCAATGAAAAAGAATGAGACACTTGCGACTGTTAATCAGCTGTATAATGTTGTTCGTTAATAAAGAATCACACTGAGCCGAAACTTTGTCCAAAAATTATGGATACCTTGTTACAAATCGAAAACAAATTTCAGCTTCCTATCTGATACTTAATGGAAGCTAGGGGAATTTCAGTATATATATAACACTTATTTTTTAAAATTTCTGCCATGTCTCAAATGGTATTTCTTTATCTAACAGAATTAACTAGGTTTTTGTAAGTCCTTTTTGTGAAACTCACATATATTTTCGAAGAAAATCGTGGGTGTAAGTTTTAACAGACTTTAGCAATCGAGAATAATAGGCCTCAGACTTTCTAGAGATTTTTTGCAAAATTGATGAAATTATAATTTTGAAAAACAATGAATATTATTGTTTGTGGATTGATTAATATATAGTAATGCGTAAGATCTGCTGTAGATATCATGGATACGTAAAACAGATTTATTTGTCAATTAATTTTATGATTATAATAATAAGAATCTTCAAAAAAAGATGAATCAACAAAATGAAAAATAATGAATGACCAGTAACCATGCAAATAAAAGATAGGGCGCCCATAGAAAAAATTAAAAAAATTCTGTTCGAGATGCAGAAATTACAAAGGTCCTTAGTCTCATGTTCGATTATTCTGCAAAACAACTATAGTCTCCGAGTGATTTTTCACTTTACATACTTTGTATTAGTTTAATGAGACTAGAGAGTACGTGTGAGTTGCAAATTTCAGTCCCAGAAGAGCTGCGCTAACAAGCTATTAATGAGCGAAAAAGAAAAAAAAACAATAAATGAAGTTCAATATCAATGACATTCGAAAATATAACAATATTCATATTAAAGCTCCACAAAATAACTAGCTGTATATGTAGCATAATCATCTTCAATTGACTCACATTCAGTTCATTTCATATTAAAAATGTCCTTCAAAACAATCTATACTTCAAAATGTTACAGAAAATAGTATGAAGAAAAGGAAAATATTTCTAGGAAGTGTCTAGACGCCCAGAAATGTTTGAACCTCCATCTCTTCTGTTCAAATTTGTGCAGCTTTGACAAACTATCCTCTCCTCTTTAGCTGCACATTCCTTATGAATGACTCCTTGATAAAAATAGAATTATATTAGAAGGTCAAACGAGTACAACTCCGCAGACAACTTCATTTGACTCTCAATCAATTATGCCAACTACAACAAAATCAAATGGTTCTGTTATCTGTAAGTTCTTGATCTTTTTGTCTTTCCTATTTTAATATGTATTGAATATAGTTACACCGGCTCCTATATCCGAATTTAATGGGTACGATGAATATGTTGGTCTTTCGCTTAGTAATTCTCTCTATTATAATGTCCAATATTGAACTTCAGTGCAAGGATACGTAATTAGTGTTAGTCTACGACTTTTTACTAGTTGAGAAGGCGATGATCCACTTTAGCTTTTTGCTATATCAAAGTATCTTCTTGATCATCAAATAGCACATCGGTATCCAGTAGTTCCAGAAAGAAACAATACAGAATGGCAAACAATTGAAATTCCATTTGGAAAATTCCCTCTATTTATTAATGATCATTTAGCTCTTGGTATGCAACATTTTAGTGAAACAAATCAGATTTATTCTGTAAGATCGGCGATATCAATACATGGAAAAAATATTACGAATACAACAACGAAAGTTTGTCCACAAGCTACGGCAGACTTCTACGGTGCTGCATTCACGTATACTCTTGTTGAAGATCGTAAGAGAATATTTAATTAAACTTCTTTCCATGCAACACTTTCTATTCAGGAGGATTTGAATGAAAGATATCACGTATTCGTCGTTGAAAATTTGGATTCAATTTCTGAGATATTTGATTTTTTTTCATTTTCTGCATATACGAGCGTGCAATCTTCGTAATAAATTTATTTGTCTAAAACCAGGAAATTCTTAAAAAGGATGCATGACTTTGTTAAGTAAGATCTCAAATATTGAAAGACTATTATTTTATGGCATAACATTTCCTTTATCATTTTTATCAATTAATCAAATGAAAACTATCTAAATCTTAAATGTAAAGACTGAAACTTTTGATTTGAATGTATATAAAATCAAAAACTAATAATTTAAAAACAAGAAAACAATCAGCAATTAATAATTCTAATTTACCATTTATCTCTTTATTTCTTAATATGAAATTATTTCAAAACACTTTTTTCTCCGAGGTGATTCATACATTAATCAAAACTTCGTATATAATCTAAATTTTTCTTTAAACAAATAGTTTTCTTGTAATTTTTAATGACAACGTTGAACATGTGTGTATTTAGTACATCCCTTGTAATTGAATTATGCACAAGATCACAAATATTATAAACAGTTTATAGCTGTGATTCAATGATTTCCTCTAACGAAGTTACATACTTTTCTAGAGAATAGTAGGGTGTCAGTATGAGTATTCTTTTCTGTTCTATACGCACACCCACATGAAAATCATTTTATTTGATTTGTTTTAGGCCATATTCCTTCATCATCACATATTTAATCCTCTAGGACTGCAATAATGACGTAGTTCACGTATTCTAATGAGATTTTAGTGATATACGATCTGGGGAGAGGGGTCCAAATTCTAGTCCTATATACTTCAACACTCCTTTTAAGATCATGCTTCACAAAATATTTAACCTGGTGAAATGTGAATATTATGAAAAAAACCGAAACTACTTGCTATACCAACGACCTTCTTTCGCCAAAATAAAGATTTAGATTCTCTGCAAAGAGATTATCATATTACTGAGCAGAGAACTGTCTATACTCTTTGATGACTTAGGTTTGCAAATACAATATTGTGAAATTGTTTGAAGACAAAAGTAATGCTACACCAGCATGCGGTTAAAAGTGTTTTTATTACAATATCGTCCAGAGTTTTCTTGAAAATGATTGTCAACTACTTTTTATGAATTGAAAATCTTTCAAAATCTAAAACAGAGCTTCATCTGTCTTCTTTAATTTAATTCTTTCTATAGTTAGTTGTTGAGAGATCAATTAACATGGAAAACGGGTTTTCATGGTAGTATAAATAAATGTAACAACAGATTGAACATTATACAGCAGTCATTAGCTTAACAAGGTGTTTATCGAAAATTTCGTTGACGAATAAACACCCAAATGTGGCTATCATCTCTAACATGACCTCTACTTCAGATTGATATTATTGAGCGTCTCTTTACAGAGTCGAAGGTATTCGATATATCATCTACGTAGTTCAGCATATTAAGAAAAGAAAACTTTTACGAGCTGAAGCAAATTTCGCAGTTGACTAACTTATCTTTGATAAAACTATTAGAAAGTGTATGTTTTATTCAATGATCTACTGATTTTAAGTTCACTGAGCTCTAATGTACTTAAATTTTACTCCTACAGATTGCAGTTCTGCCAGGCTTTGTCTATGCCATTTTTACGATTGTTTTAAGATTTTTTCTCTGTTGGAAAGAAACTAAAACGTTTGCAAGGTCAAAATTGATCATGCATTGCAATTAGTCCACATCAGAACGGAAAACGTACATATATAAGCATGAAGTGAATCAAAATAAGATACACAATGGTAAACCCTCGATTCACTAAATGTCTTTAAAAATGATAGAATCTCTAAGACTAATCAAATTTATTTTAGTAGTAAAAAATCAGCACAATCTTTTTCAATAAGTGTTCTTAATTAAATCTGCTGCTCTCTCTGCTATTGCAACTGTTGGAATATTTGTATTGCCCGAAACAAGACTTGGCATAATACTTGCATCAACGACACGTAGACCTCTCACGCCTTTTACTCTTGTATCAGACGTTACAACTGCCATTGGATCTTCTTCTTTTCCCATTTTACACGTACCAACTGGATGATAGACTGTAACACTATATTTTCGAATAAACGATTCCCAAAATTGATCTTCATTTTCTATTGCTTCGTCTCCGTTCATTTCTTTCGCCATTGAGTTGAGTATACTGTTCAGCGGTTCACTTTTACTAATTTTTTCAACCAGCTTGCATGCCTCAATCAGTTTACGAACATCTTGTTTGTCTTCTAAATAATTTGGATTGATAATTGGATGTATAAGAGGATCACGACTTGCAAGTGTAATTTCACCCTTGGATTTTGGATGCAGAATTGTAGGTAAGCATATAACAGTCCATTTGGATTCATCTATTAGATGTGGTTTCAAATATTGCTCAAAAACTTCCGGTTTAAAGTTTACGTTCTTAAAAAGTTCAGCGTCAACTGTAACCGGTACAAAATGCATTTGAATATCAGGTACTTGTGTCTTATCTGAAAGAACAGATAATTATAGGTAACACTGTGAATTAATAGAAAAATAAATTGAGTCTAGACTTGAATTACCATTTCCATCTAATTGACACCACCATTGTGATTCCAGAACACATGATGTTAAGGGACCTTTTCCTTGAATTGCCCATTTTTGTAAGTTTTCGGGTGTTAGATCGTGAACTGAAAGTGTTGGTATTCGAGTCTGATAGACTAGAACAGTCATAAGATGATCTTGTAAATTTTTACCAACACCAGGTAAATCAGCAATCACTGGTATTTGATGTTTCTCTAATTCTACTCGAGGACCAATACCAGAGAGAAGAAGTATTTGAGCACTTCCAACCGTACCAGCTGATAGTACTACTTCTTTGCCTTTGATAAATTCTTCTTTATCCAATGAGCTACTACGTTTAATAATGACACCTACAAGTATGAAAAGTGTTTCGTTCAAAATCAATACCCAAAAGAAACAAATGTACATGAAATCTTCTGAAAAGTAAAACAACTCCTAGTACTTTTCGAACCATCAATGACAATGGATATCGTCAAAAAAAAAGGTCGTAACATTCCTAATCGTTTCAACTGTGAAAATCAAGAAGAAAGAAATAGTATTTCTGTTAAATTCACATTATTTTACATTTTTTTACCATCACTATGTGCCTTAAACGAGTTTTAACTGACGAAATGGAAAATGCGATAGAGACTACTTTAGACGGAATTCTCGTTTTCTATCTTGAAAATTTTTACGAACAGAATACGATGAAAAGAAACTCGTAAAAACGTTTTTACAATCTCAATCAAAATTTTTTTTCGAAAAGATGCTTGTAACTTCACACTCACCAGATACTTGTTTTTTCTCATCGAATTCTACTCGGCAAGTATGTGCATGTACTAACAAATCAAAATTTTCTCGTTTTACTGCTTGCAAGAGATAACCACTTGCTGTTGACCAACGTTTTCCACCTTTTGTTGAAATTTGTGACATTGATACACATCCATTGAGACTTTCTTCGGCATTATAATCTTTGGTTTCACGAAATCCATTCTTTTCACATGCTTCAATGAGCATTCGATTTATTGGATTGGCTTCTTCGAGCATTGTTACATCCATCATTCCATTGTCCTGATCATGATTACGAAAATGCTCATTCTTCTGAATTGTATTCAGATCCGCACGTTCTAATTTTTTGAAATATTTTAACATTTCTTGAAATGACCATTGTGGCAATTGCCAATTATCATAATCATGTGGATCACCGCGAACATATTGCATATAGTTTATAGAGGAACAACCACCTAAAACTTTACCGCGTGGCCAATTACTTTGTTGATTAATACAACCAAAGTGTGAATAAAGTTGAGGTGTAGTTTTATATTGCCAATCAATGTCACCACGCTGACAGTTACCACTAGAAAATCAAAGAATGGTATACTTGAGTTCTTAAGTAACGAAATGCCTTCAATCGAAGGAAGCTGTGGAAGATTTGCATTGAGTTTTCTGATTTTATTTTAAAACGAAAATAAAAAGACTTTCATTCGAAACTCTTTTCTTCTACATCTACAATCAGTTTTCTGACAACATTTTATAGAAAGTTCGAAAGTCATGGCTTTTTGATAGAAACTACGATCAAGTTCTCACTTACCAAGCAGCTGGCATGTGTATTTCATCTTTTGTATCCGCACCACCAGCTTCAATAAGAAGAACACGCTTATCAGCTTGTTCTGATAGACGATTAGCTAAGACAGCACCTGCTGAGCCAGACCCAACAATAATGTAATCATATGTGATATCGTCAGTTTTTGTCTGCGAAAAATCTTGTTCCCATCGTTGTATAACAGCTGGTGATTCACTGACAACTGGCGCGGCAGTCTGCCCAGCAATACTTATTTGCGACATGTATTGTGAACAGAAAAGATATAAATTAAATAAAATCTAAAGATAAAAACTACAAAGCTATACGCGAAATCACGCTGTCTTCATTTAGTGTACTGTATATTTACATAGAGCAAAGATAAGAAAAGTAATAACAAAAAAAAAAGTATTTTTTCTCTTTCTGTACGTCGAACGTTAAATAGGCGTATATTTACTTACAAGAAATAAGGTTTGTATGGCTCTCAGTCAGTATTCGCATAGTCATTGTCGCCTTTTGCACTTTTTTCAACAATAGGCAAAACTCAGTAACAGAGTGCAAGAAAATTGACAAAAACAAAAAAAATGCAAGAAAAGCATCGTTTTATTACTAGCTAATCTCTCTTTCCTATCAAAAAAAAAATAGTTTACCCTTGGATGAATAATTTTATACTCATTCAAGTGAAGCAAAAACGGTGAGTTAATAAGCAGTTGCATATATACATGCTTCAGCTCCTTCATTAAACGCGTCCTTCATAATGGCTTGAGTTTGGCGTGTTTCTCATATCTATTTTTCACACTACAGAACATAGAATGCAGTGAATCAAAGCGCATATGTTTCAGGTGAAAAATAACATTCCTGATCGCGGGTTTTGATAAACAACAGATATATCATAATAAAATAGTACAAAAGAACAGTAAAAATCATTTTTTATTTTATATTATGTGATATTTCTGTCTCTATTCACAGACATCATCATCAGACAGAGAACACCACCAACATAAACCTATCACACAATTATATCAAATCTAATATGATCTAATATAGTGTGTGTAAGATAATGAATGAATTCACACATTTTGAAATAAATAAATAAACTCATAAAACAATAAGATAAATGAATCAACTTATAATAAAGACATCCATTTTCATGTTGCATATGTATCAAAAAATTAAAGATAAGTTGATTTATTTATCTTATTGTTTTATGAGTTAATTTATTTATTTTAGAATGTGTGAATACATTATCTTACACACACTATATTAGATCATATTAGATTTGATATAAT